CGACTGCTAGTCTAGAGTAATCGACTGTTATGTCTGGATAAAGTGCGAAATCTATTCTAAACCCTTTTGGAATCGATTGGCATTGGGTGATATCTTTTGGGATTGATCTATACTATAAGCAATCGATTGCTATCAAAGAGGAATCGACTATCCAATAGGAGACCAAATGTAGAAACCTTTCTATTTGAAAGGAGTCGACTTCTATATCGACTACTTACATGTTGAATGCATTCTAAATGAAGCAAGGAGTCGAATTCTCCATGGAGGAGTCAATTGCCCTAGTTCTGAAAGCATTTTAGAAATTGAAAATACAAAGAGGTAGTCGATTGCCTTTTTGGGGCAATCGATTACTCTATATGAAAAGTTACAATTTTCAAAAAAGTAAAAAATAGTTTCTCTTTGAATGAAAAGTTTGATTATTCAAATTAATAAATATATCTGTAATCTTTCAAAAAGACATTTATAAATAAAAGAAAGTGATCTTTGATTGAAACAACACAATCAAAGAGTCACAACTTTAGGATTCAATTTTTATAAATAGAGATTGATGTGAGTTCATTAGATTATCCAATTTAATTTTGAATTACTTTCTTTTTTCTCTCATTTCTTTCTCAAAAAAAGGCAAGTTGGTTTAGCATTGTTTGCTGTAGAAAACCTTGCAAAGATAATGTATTTTTGTTCCTACTAAGGTGTTTTTAGTGGTTTATTATACTAGTGCAAAGTATAAACAAATAAGGTTTCATTGTATTTTAGAAGAGTTTTGGTTCATCTATTTACATATTATAACTAGTTGGGACAAAATAATCCTTAAGTAGTATTTATAGCAAGTCTTGAACCCATTTTATTTGTGATTGAAAGTCCATAATTACTAAACTCCAACTGTTCAACAAAAAGACCACAAAAAGTTCACAGATTCACAAAATAATCAAGTATCAAGTTGTATCTTATAACCTTGTAATCCATATTATTTTTCTAACAGGAACTCCATTTGATTTCTTTCGGTCGCAGTCTAAATTGTCTTCAATCTACATGTCTTAGCATTCATGACAAAACCAGAGGTGGGACGACTTGGAAAGTTGGTCAAGTCAATTAACATTAATGAAATTATGCCAATTGAGCCCGAGATAAAAATTTTCCTTTTTTTTTTTTGTTAAATATTTTTTACAAGTTTCAATTTTCAATAAGATTTATATCATGGGTAGATAATTTTACTCTAGATTTTAAGTTAGGGACGTCAACGATAAGAGTATAGCATTTTTCTATTTGCATTCTTGTTTTTTACAATATTTTTATACTTGCTTTAATTTTGATACAAATTTATACTTGTTTTTATTGTCATAAAAAATTAATATGTATGAAAAATTCGTATACCCATGATTTTTTAAAAAATTAAAAATAAATATTAAAATATTCAATATTTATTACAATAAATAAAAACTAAAACAATTTACACACATTAAAACAATTACAATGCACACATTAAAACAAATTTAAATATTTTATATTGAGAAAGGATCAACTTAAACTAAAGTAAAATCTTTTAGTTTTATATATTTTTTTTAATCTTCGATTTCAATAGACTTAAAAGGATGAGATTAAATAATTTTTTCACTTTTTAACTTATTTCACTCATCCCTTAAAATTATTAAAATCAATGATTAAAAAAAATGTAAAACTAAAAAGTTTTACGCTAATGTAATCCTGGATATGAAACATTCAAAGAATAAACTATTTTTTCTTTTTTGACTTTTATCACTCATTTCTTGCAACTATTGAAATTAATAGTTAAAAAAGTGTAAAATTAAAAAACTTTACACTAATATAAATTGATCCTTTTTTTATATCCATATATATTTATCAAATATATATCGATTACTGATATGAAATAAATATTATATTATTCATACTTGTTTTCATACCCAATGAGTATTTTAAAATCATAAATATTTTTATTTTTATCTCAAATTTTGATACTCATATCCATCATTGTTAAAGGAAAAAAAATTGAATTCTCTTAAAAAAACTGTTGTTACTTGTGACTCAAACAAATTCAACCGGACTTACATAAGTAATAAGTTTCTTTTCTTTCCTATAATTCCATCTTATCTAATATAATATAATTAATAGATAAACCAAAAAAAAATTTTAAAAAAAAAAAACGAAACGTTGAAACCAAATAGGTTATATTGTAATTGTAAGAGTTCAGAGATAATACGTTGTCAAAAAAATTAAGAAAACTAATATACCATACCACAACTTGTCTTACCGACTAAAGCTGCCTACTAATGCACGTAACCATAAATTCCAACCAACCAAAGAGGGGAAAAAAATGAACAGCAAGTGATATCTTATCAATTTCAATTAGGTTACATATATTTTATATTTTACTAGTATGTCAGGCAATGAGACTAAGTACATAAGAACTAGTATATGTTGATTTAAAATATATATATATATATATATATATTGCTCTCATGGCAATGGAAATGTTAATAGGTAAAGAATGAAGCGAGTAAAATATATTTTATTTTTATTATTGAATTTTTATATTATATTCATTTTCATATCTATATTTAATGAATATTTTAAAATTTTTTTATTATTATTCTCACGAGTATTTAATAAGTATGAATAATTCGCACATCCATAATTTTTTTAAAAAATAAATATTTATATTTATATTTTTATTTATATCTTTTATATTTATATAGTTTTTTATAAATATATTAATATATATTTTAAATAAAAATATATAAATTTTAATTAATCTAAAATAATAATTTATATTATTTAATAAAAAATTATTTACTAAATATATATAAATATATATGTAAAAAAATGAGTACGGGTACAAAATAAATGTTATATTATTCATCCATATTTCTGCATTCAATAAAAAATTTAAAATTATCTCATTTCTATTTCTATCTTTAAAATAAAATACACGTTTTCATTTGAATAGAAAATCAAAATTTTCATTAGTTATAAATAAATTTGACCTCTCAAGCCGATGCCATGCCGATACAGAATTATGTTGCATTGTATTTGCGTACATGGGCCATCTATTTCATGGTGGCGGGGCGACGATACAGACGGTGCAAAAGGAAAGCATGGGCCTTTGGTCCCATGAATGACACTCAATTTCACAAATAATAAATGAAATGCCCCCCAAAAAGAAACGGTGAGGGCAGGTGGGGGACCCCAGGCAGAGGCCCCAGCTAAAGTCAGTGAATGATGGGCTGCTCACGTACTCCCTCACCCCCACACCATTCTTGCGAGCCTTGGACAATCTCCACCTAACCCTGCACTGCCAACAACCGATTAAAAGAATCATTCACTCCAAGCACATCCTTATGGGTCATTTCCTCAGCACCACAGCTGTCTTTCAGATACTGCTAGTCCTAGGAACCAAACGTTATGCTGTGATACATCAGCTACATTTAGAACAAGACTCCTTGTCTCTTCAAGTTCAATGATTTTCTTCTTTCATGTGCGTAAGTAAAATATAACTACCATTTTTTTCTCAAGGACCAAGGTGATGGAGTCAAATTTCTTCTTTCCTTCAACTCTCATTTTTTACTAAATTATTTAAGTAAAAGAAATTAAACATCTTATATATAAAGAATTAACTTATACCAATATAATATTAATAAATTTTATATTTTTTAATAATTAATCTCAATAAATCTAAAATATGAGAGAAACAAATTAAAAAAATTTAATCTCATATATATATATATATATATATATATGAAAAGAGATCCACTTATATTAACATAAGTTTAATTTTTATATTTTTTTGAACTCTTGGGTCAAAATTAAATTTATGATTTATTTTAATCAAAAAGGATACTTTTAAATTTAATAATTTTGATCTAAGAATTAAAAAAAAATAAAAACTATAGTAATATAAGCGGATTTTTATTTATATTATATTATATATATATATATATTAATAATAGTGTACTGTGATTTACAAGTTGTACACAATAAAGGATTGGATATCACTTCTCATATAATGTTATGAAGAAAAACTTTAATGCATTAAAAGGGTTTGGAAACAAAATTTGAAGTTAAACTACTGAAATGGTTCAACTATCTTTTTACAAGACTGAAATTCAATTCCAAAACTTACATTTTTTGTTCTCTTAATTTCTTAAGCTCCTTGAAAAAAAAAAAAAAAAAAAAAACATTGCAAACTGTCAAATCTTAAATAATTATTGGCCAAAAAATATCCTAAAATAATTAAATGAATGTTTGCTCTCTTTCCTCACTGAAAATCCCTTTTCTACCACCTCCAAACCCAAATGTTACATTTTTTTCTCAAAAAAAAATAAATAAATAAATAAAAAAGAATACCACACCTGTAATCATGAGAAAAATAACACACATTCATCCCTCCTAGCCTGGCCCCATTCCAACCAAAATGATCAATATTCTATAGGCAGATAATATTTAAAACACTTTTGTTTTTTTATTTTTGATTTAGAGAAGAAAATTTTGAACCATATTTTTTTTAATAGCTTTCTGTTTTTATTTACAAATTGAATATCAATTATTGAATATAATGAATTATTAATGATCATGATTGTCCATTTAATGAATTAATAGATGCATGTTCTTTTTATATAGTTTAAAGACTATAATCGCTTCGATTGAGACGACACTTGCTTGCGATATCGTATGTCTATTTATATATTATACAAAGCAAAATTTTCCATTCAAAGTTAGAAGACTATGATGCCAGGCAGCAGCTAAAAAACTAGCGAAACATCCAGAATCAACCACATAATATCTGGCAGATTAAACGAATCCCTCATCTCTCCGGATGATCTAATCGGCTTCGCCACCTCACCTCATGCATGTTTGTCACGTAAGCTGTGATCACATCCCGAATAACTTCTTCTTTAAGCCTGATTGTTTTTCCCAAAATCTCGTTATTGCGATTAGGTTAACCACGTACGTCACATGCAACAATATAAACTACTATTACTATTCCATACTTGGGGAGAAATAAAATTTTGAATTCATCAATAATTCAAAAGTTGAGTACGCAAAAGAAGATCAGATCAAATCACTTCAAAAAACACCAAAAAAAAAAAAAAAAACTCAAACAAACTTAGCAATCTGAATTTAAAGGACTATCAGGAGCTTGAAGCAATACTGATCACATCGGCAATATTAACCGAACCACACACTTTGGATATGAGAGATAGATATGTGCGGCTGATGCATGACTGTATTTACACATGCAATTCTCCTTTCATTGTCGTCATCATCATCCTCCTCTCTACATCAACAGCTCATTGACCCACTCAAGATCGGGATCAGGATCACAAGCGACGCCATTTTCATTGATCTTCTCATCAACACCAAATCCTGTGGACGTTGCACCAAAATATTCCCCAGATCCAGAAGGGCTTGGCCTGGAAGGAGATAGAACAAACTGCTGCTGATCTTCCCCATTGAGGGAAACATCAAGCCAGGGAATGTTTGCAGCACTGAAGTTGTTCCCGCCTGCCATAGGTGAAGGGACTTCACAGAAATTCATGTTATCCAAAGAACACATCAGGTCGTTAAGAACGTTCTTGTAACTCATCATTTCCATTCCAAACTTACTCAAACGATCACTGCACCTGGAAATTGGTGAAAACCCACCCAAAGATCTCCGCTGCTTCATAGGAGACAAAGGCGGTGACAAAGATGGTGACCTTGATAAATGAGACAAACCCAACAGAGTACTCGTAGGAGACGAGGTGACAGAGTGGCAGAACAAGCAACAATGGTTATTCTTGTTCATTGGGGAAGAGCGGCAAGAACCTGAATTCTTGTACTCTGGAGATGCCTCAGGCAAGAGACGAAGCTCACGAGAAGAATGAGCGAAAAAACAAACCTTCCGCTTGCAGTTTTTGCCATCCTTGCAAGCTTCAGTTCTATAGCGGGTAGGGTGCAGCCAGCACTCGAATACCCCATGAGCGAAGTCACAGTCATCCCCACGAAGGCAGCCACCACCACGGCGGAAGTCAGAGCAGACGGTGGAGGAGTAGCGGTAGCGGCGAGGGTCACGGCGGCGGGCCTTCTCGCCAGGATGAGCAAAAGGACAGTCTGTCCAATCGTGGCTCCTACTCCAGCTGCAACTTTTCACCTTGAATTCATACATGCGAAAATGGTCAGTAGCATAGGGATCAGCGTCATTGTCTTCATCTTCATGGTTATTCCTGTTGGAAGGGAGATATTTGTGAAGGCTAGTTTCGTAGGGAAGTTGCATGGTGTTGTTCCCTTGGATGTGATTGTGAGAAAGGAGGAGTTTCCTTGGAGGAATTTCAATGTCTTTGAAGGGCACTTTTTTGGAGAGTTGGTGAGAGGGCTGAAAGTTGTGTTGCTCAGTACAAGCAGTGCTCATCTTTTATTTGGGGGATGGCTAATGGACTAATAGTTTGTTAGAATTAAGAGGAAAAGAAATGAATGTTTTTAGCTGCTGAGGGATGGATGGAAAGAGCATGAATGAAGTGACCATATGGGGACAAAGAGTTTGGGATGGGGGGCTTAGATATATAGGATCAGGGGGTGGTGTAAAGGGAGAGGGAGGCGTGGGTGGCAAGGATGGATGGAGGTAATGTTGATAGTTTAGAATGTGGTGCATCTTATATTGGATAGAAAGATTTAATTATTAATGAATAAATTTATTTTTTTCTATTAGTTTTATTTATATTTTAAATAATTATGTTTGAATAAAAATAATTATTATAAAACAAATGGTCGTAACTATTTAAATGCAAATAAATCATTATTCATAAAGGTCATGATTATATAAAATGTCATAACTATTTTTATTTATGTTCATTCATTATAAATAAATCTTTCATAACTATTTTCATTGCTTTTAATTATAGAGTTTGAGGCTTTATTATATCTTAGAGGCATAATTGCCTTTACAAAAGTGTTTTTCATACTTCAAAGCTAAAATTATTTTATATTATTTTTCTTTTCTTATTTAATTTTTTAACAATTTAAAGATAATTATAAAAAATTTATATTTCGCACAATGAAGATATAAGGAAAAGAAATTGGCATGATTTGGAGATTAATATTAAAGGAAGCTCAAGGTGTCAAAGGATTAATATTTTCATAAACCAAAATAGTAATTTTCATAAAGATCTTTATTAGAATGAGATCTTATTTTTTGCATAATTGCTAGTAAAAAAATTGATTGAATGAGATAAACATGTTAATAATTAATTTTATTAGTGCATAAAGTCAAAACATAATATACAAAATATAAATTACATTGCATAAGTTTATGCATATACTAAAATTGGCTCCACAATTGTGTTTAATGAATTGTATTATATCTATTTAAAAAATCAATACTTCTAAAGATTGAGATGGGAAATAGCCTAAAAACATAAAAGAAAAAGCATGAATTGATATACAGCCAAAAGAATTATCGCTTGTTATCAAGTAACAAATTAAATTGGATTATAATGGAATGGTCCATTGTTTAATTATCATGTTTTGGTTATATATAGAATAGGCAAATTGTCCCATGGTTCTATGAAAAATAATTGAAAATGGGTAAAGGAATTTACCATGAAAAATTATATGTAAGTGAAAAATATATGCAAAAAATAAAATTTGGTTGTAAGATTAGTTTTATTTTTAAATCATAGCACTAAAATTGAGATAATAAGTTGAATCAAGCTATTTATATAGGTCTGTCTTTGTTGGTCATTTATAAATAAAATGTTGATATATATATTTTTAAATTTATTATTGGTTCAAATTTTGACTTGTGTTCAATTTTCATAAAAACCAATTAAAATTAAATTGATGTATGTGAATAATTATTATTAAGATATGGTGTTTCATAAATTAATTGATGGATAATAAACTAAATAATTGTTATTATCATAAACATTAGCAATGTGACATGCATTTTGCCTACCGGATATATTACACTAGAAGTAATTTTACAAAATAAAATTTTATTGTGAACAATCACAAAGAAAAAGTTTAAGGTACAATTCAATTTGTATTTGATGGTTAAAACAAGTAAGACAAATAAACTTAAGAATTTGGAATATAAATGTTCCTGTTGTATAACTATAATTGATGAAACTTGCTTACAAAAGGTAGGAGATTAAAGAGATGCTTGTTTAAAAAGAAAAAATCAAACTTTTATAACTATGACGTTTATAAAGATCTGAGTTTTGAAATATTATTTTCGTTAATGATAGCATTTATAAATTGTTTGAATTTATAATATAATAAGTTAATACAAGTTTATTATATGCAATGAATTTATAATTTCATGAAGAATTATGGCTGGTAGTAATGTAAAATTCATTAAATATATATATCTATGGCATCCCTATATTTTGTAAATTTTATATTAGTATCACTAACTAATATATATATTAAAAGAAAATGTATGTCATTAAAAAATATTAAAGCATTTGTCGGTTACTAGCATTTTGAAGGATGCTCATCAATGTCTAATTAGGCATATTTATAAATTAAAAAAGAACATGCAAATTCAATGTTCCAAAGGCACCAATACATGCATGTTTTTAATTTCATTTTGTGATGGTATGGAGAATATTGGTACAGTTTACCATATATTATAAAAACGAACTAAATGGGATAGAATTTTCTTTCTTATACATGTAAGAAAGATATGAACTATGGAGATAAAATACCATTATCCAATTAATACATTATTGGTTAAAGACAATGAAGGTATTTTTGCTTCTTGTACAAAAAAAAATGGCCTTTTGTAGGCTGTTAAAATGAAAAGTGAACAAGTTTTCAAGGTTTTCAATAATTTCATGACAATGGCAAAGATGCGATTGGTTGTATACCATATTAACATATAGGCTTAAATAATAATATTAGTTTGTGAAAACCGTAAGTCTTAGAGTTAACCAATTAATGATTTAATGAATGCAAATTCAACACAAGTTTTTGCATCAAATATGAATAGAACTCATATTATAATTATTATTTATACTATTTTATGAAAATAATTCTTTGGATTCAGGTTTCATGACTGTGTTGATATACTGATCTAGATATGAACATATTGATCTCAAAATGATTATGAAAGTATTTGAAATTGGAGTTAAATATACTATGGACTTTTATTATACATAGGTATATTGGTTATATGAGTAAAGTTTAAATTTATTATATATCTGAAAATGTTATAACCAATTAAAAGTGGTAAGTAACAAAGATATATGGGCTTCACAATTCACAATGGTAGAGAAATAAAATTCTCATAAAATTTTGAAATCAAGTTTAGAGATTTCAATAGTCATGAACTTCGAATTGGCTATTGGGCAATTAATATATGCATTGGAAACTCAATATAACATTTGAGATAAATTGATTTTCACTAAAAGTCATTACTATAAATGAGATAACTTCAATAGCAAATCTACATGATTTGTAGATATGATGTGTATTATTATAGTTGGCTTATAATAGCCATAAGCCAAAATTGATGCCACAATCTTAATTACGTTATGTTAATTTTTTGTTATGTATATGGTCTAATTCATTTATTGTACAATTGATTTATCATTTATGGTTTTATATAGTAAAAATTTCAAAGTATATTTACTTTGAAAGCCATGAATAATTCAAAATTCTTATGAATATGAAAACTTTTATAATAGCAAAAAGAATGCTATTTGATCCATTTAGGTGATGGAAATGATTTTGTTCATAGTAATAAAAATTATTAATAGTGTTCATGATGAAATAAATTCATATAAGTATTTATGAATTAACATAAAAAGTCTTAAAAGGAGACTATAAAAGCATGATTATATTTAAAATTTGTTTATTGATGTAAATTCTTATGTTAAGTTAAAATATAAAAGTTTTGAAACTTTTATTGAAATATTAAGATATTTGCTAGTTATCTTTCACTAAGGGTAGATTTGGAGGCCTCCTACTTAAAAAAAAAAAATCACCAAATAGTGAAAAGGTAAATGAATTGGCAACTTGATTAAGTATATATGATATCTTGACAATAGAATGAGACATTCTTTAATAAAAGAATGCATACTTGCAAATGGTGAAGGTGATAAGAATAAAAAAAAAAAAAATTAAAAATTACCACCATAGTGTTGTAAGATTTTAGTATAATTTTATAAGTAAATTACACAAACTAATAAGTTTAGATACTTATTAAAGTAAAATCATAAAAAGGTCCTTAAAAATATTAAAAGGATTAAAATGGTTTGGTTTATTCATTGAATTTTTTCAATTGTACTATAAATATAATTGTATTAAATATGTATAAAAGTATGGAAATAAAATGGTTGAAAGTTATAAGTATAGAATTGTAGCCACAACCAAAATCAACTATTTCTTAAAATGATAAGAATAAGGCAATAATGTCTAAAGCATATAAATGATATGTAAAATGAAAAGTATGGACATATTAGCCTAAAGTAATTATATTAGAGATTCAATCTTAAGTGGAGATAATTATCATAAAATAAATTGAATTCTAAGATATTTAGTTAGTAGTACTATAAGTGGAATAAATTTAAACCCTTATTATTAGACACCAGTAATGAAAATCCAATTTTGAATTAGTAACCTCTAATTATAAAATTTAATGGGTAAAAACAAGTTATTATTATGTGTCTATTAAACATTAGTAAAATCCATTTAAAATTTAGAAACTAATACAATCTATTGTGTTAGAAGTATGAGTTTTTATACTCTTAATGAAGTTTTAAATATTTAAAATAATAGAGATATAATAGAAGTTCTACCTATATAAAGGTAGAAGTGATACCACTTCAACAAGAAGAATTAAGATCTCTTTTGCAAATATTTATAAATAGGATAAGCACATAGCCATAATAGTACTAAAAATAATTATAAACCTTTGACAAAAGAATAAATAAGTATTATGTGTGTTATATCTTCAATTTTAATACTAAGAGTTAAAATTTAATCTGCGGATACCATTAACTTTGTTAGAATTCTAAAATATTTACGCTAATTGAAGGTTTAAATCAAGAGATACCTTCTTGTAATATTTATTTATGTGAAAGGTGAAAATTAAGTACCAACATTCCAAACTAGTGAGAGATTATTTATAGTTTAGAATATGGTATATTTTACATTAAATAAAAAAATTTTAATTATTGATAAATAAAACTATTTTTTGTATTAATTATATTCATATTTTAAATAATTATGTTTGAACAAAAATAATTATCATATGATAAAAAGTCATAACTATTTGAATACAAATAAATTATTATTCATTAAAATCATGATTATATAGAAAGTTATAATTATTTTTATGTCTGTTTATTTATTATAAATAAATCTTTTAATATAATTATTTTTATTATTTTTTATTGAAGAGTTTAAAATTTTGTCATATTCTAAAAATATAATTATTTTTAAAAAATATTTTTTACACCTCAAAACTAATTTTTTTTATTATTTTTCTTCTTTTATTTAATTTTTTAACAGGAAAAGGTATGGGCGAAGACTGAAGAGATGCGTTGGTGCATAGCATGCAAGAAAGGCGTATGTGGCAGCTTCACAATGCACAGCACGCAAGATCTTGCTATGTGTTTGCCCGATCATTACCGAGAAATCTGAGTGGGCTTTGGCTTTTACCTTTTTTGGGTTTTGATGAGCTGACATGATCCTCTTGGTATGGGAATTTTGGGATCAAAGACTCCGACAACTGGCAGTGCTACATTTCTTGGCGCTTTCAAAATTTACAACCCGAGGACTTTTTTTTTATGGATTAAGGGCACTTGTCAGTAAATTTTTATATTTCTTCGTCTTATATGTAGTGTTATTGTTTGTAAATTATTATTTTGCCTTTACAATTGTCGGTTTTGGATGGACCATGCGTCATGGCTTGCTGTAGTCACGTAGAGGTGGGGTATTTATAGTTGGTTTAGCTTTTCAGAGGTGAGGTAAATCCCTTCAAAAACCATTTTTAAAATCAGCAAAAAGAGGAGGACCACACAGCACAGGATTTGAAGTTAGAAACCAAGGGTAACTTTGAGCTTAAATATTCAAAGGTATAGCAGGCAGGGGCCGCCAAAAAGCCCCTTATTTTCCTCTGAAAAAGGAAGAGAGTCAGATACATTTAAATCATCGTTAAACACAGATTCTAATTGTTTGTTTATAATCCAACACTTCTGATAGAATTTTCAAGGCCTAGAGAATTTTCAGCATTCCTTGCCTGATATAAGATGATACTACAATGTGTCTAGAAACTAGAGACCTTGGAAAAGAGAATATTATTGAACCATGCATCTATTACGAAACGAGTTTTAATGCTATAGATAACAGGTTTCCATGGAATATGCACTAGCCGGTTTGCAGGTCTCCCAGTGAAAAATAGATTGTACAATGTCTTCAGAAGATCTCATACTTCTATCCATATTCTGATATTCTAATAAGTTTTATAAAGCAGTTCCAGAAGTGTGATCAAATTCAATGCATGGATGGTCCTTTCGACACAGCATTGACATCAGGGCATTATGCATCATTAACAAATAAAAAGAATTACAGCCAAATTAAGTAATCATTTTTATAATGCTCAGTCAATTTTACATACAACAGTTCTATAGGAGGCTTCAGCAATCACTATGGCTATAAAGAACGGAAAAAACTTTGGATGTTATACACATATTCAGCCATTAATATACTCCAATTAATTGGGGAAAAGGATGGTACTTCTCCTAAAAAATATCAATGGAACCTTACAACAATGCAAGATATGTCATCCTTGCTCTTCCTAGAAATTGCTGCCTCTATCAAGAGCTTTGCTGCTGATTGTGCATCCTTTATGTTTTTGATAGTGTCCACTGCTTCTTGGTTTGACATAACCTGCCAAGAGATTGGATAAGAATGAGAAACCTTGAATCTCAATTAAATTAAAACTTACATAAGACAAATTAAGAGTTGAAAATAAAGAACAAGAAGTTAAGTAACTCTGATTTTCCTTCATACAGAAACTAGAATCGCAAAGCAAATAACCTTCCATATCCCATCACTGGCCAGAATAATGAACTCTGCATTGTCATCAATCAGCTCCACAGTCACATCAGGTTCCGAGCTAAGATGTATCTTTAAACTCTTATCACCAAATGCCCTTGCTACAGCCAGCTGACCATCAACACGAGGAACATCCCCTGTGACCATCATATAGTACATGTCAATTCCAATTTCCACGTATCAGACATGCCAGTAGCAGTTCCTAAAGCATGTAACATGTTTAATGACACCTGATAGTTGATTTAGTCTTTAATGAAAGTTTCCCATACATGCAAAACCAAAATCCATCTTAAGCGGGATTGATAATCCCAATACCAACTCCAATAGGTAGTTACATCTCTAATAAAACAAGCACCAGAAACTTCAAACCATCAAAATTGAGTTTTTTTGACATGTGAAAGTGGAACCACTAGCATACAGTTCTAGCTACCTGGAAGGTTTGATACAAAACCACCACGACTCTCAATCATTCTCTTCTCCTTGCTTGGCTCATGATCAACTGATAGTTGTTTAGCAACACCATTCTTGCATATAACTGCCCGAGAATCTCCTATGTTTCCCACTACCAGTTTCTGACCGTTGATAAGTATTGCTGTCACGGCTGTTGACCCTCCTCTGCCTAGAAGCCTTGCTTTATCCAATATTTCACTGTCTGTCGACTTATAAGCTCTTTTAATTGCATCCTCCGTTTTGATCCAAAAGTCATGCTGCTTATGATTAAGAAATCTACATTATATCAGATCCTGTAAAAATTTAAACAGCTAGAACATAGCAAAAAGAAGTAATCAATGAAAGAATCATATGTTGAGGATTAAACCAATCTCTACCTCTTTCAAGATGTTATCAAACAGATGGTTCTGCAAGTACTTTGCAACATCATGGCCCAAATGTCCATCAAAGATTGCAAATAAACCCAACTCACTATCATCTTTTTTCTTGAATTCAGAAACTACATAATCTTCCATGTCATGATTTGATTTTCCCTTCATGCAGTGAAAACCATGCATAATATGCTTTGACATTTTGCTCTTCCCTTTCCCTGTGTCAGCCCCAGATGAAAATAGCACAGACTTCAGCTGAAAACAACACACCAGTTAAAGCACATAAAAGACTTAGGTAATTTTTCCAGCACACAATTCTTCAAAAGGAAACCTTGGGCCGGAATTTCACTCACAGTGATTTGCCACAGGTTTTATCTCATGTTAATCTAAAGCAAGACAAAGTGGAGTTGTCCAGTCAATATTTAACTATGCCTTGAGACTTGAGACATCGAGATATGATTTCAAGCAAGTCAAGCTTTCATTTCAAATGCAAATTACTTCGGTACATCTTCAGCTCTTACTTTAGTATTCAATTTAATTCTGAACAAAAATATGTGCTATTCTTCTATAATATGTTCTGCTCTAGTCTCATAAATTCCATCCACAAAAAATTATCCCTTAGAAACTAAGCATGGTTTTCTAACATCAGAATTCATAAGCCTTCTTTCACAGACGAAATAATGAAACAATAAGACAACATTGTAAATTAAAAAAAATAAAAATAAAAAACAAAACATTCAGACACATTATTATGTATTTATAACTAAAATCTGCCTGTCAATTCAGGGGTCAAGTAAAGTTATGAGCCAATTTATGCTACAACCTTATTCTTGTTGCACCAGATAATTCCTTTTTCAAACGAAAGGAAACTCTTTACCTTGCTTCACGACATAGAATAAGCAATAAATCACTTGAGAGCAGCATGAACATTTTCATCAAGAGAAGCATAATACAACAATAAGATTGCATGTAATAGTTATAGCAGATCCCATTTTCAAGAAACAAGAAAAATGTCTCCACCTGGATAAGGCAGAACATGGAGAAGCTCAAAGAAAGTGCTAGATGGAGTTTTAGATGGCATTAACTGTTTCCATGACAGGTAATAAAAAGATACTAGTCTTGTATCTCAGCATGAGACAACAGAAGTTAAATGTTTTATCCAACCCATGAGTCACTAGGTACTGAAAGTGGCTGGACATGGATCCTGGCTCATTTGCATGACCTAGGATTACACACGTGTCTTATCCATATGTCAGCATTTCATAAAATCCAACAATAGATTTCTTAGGCATTGGTTTCCTTCATAGCAGAAAGAGGAGCAGCGCATAGCTTATACATAAGATTACAATTGTCTTCCATGCCAATGACATTACTCAGGATTCCACGAACAATAATCTCAGCAAAGTTACTTGAGATTTATTAACTCATTAGCTTGTTTAATGCTTGATTTACTATCATCTCAATACACAGACATTATTATCAAGCAACAGCATTCCACTACTTGTCAACAACTTTGATGAATATGGTCCAAGTACCAAAATGAACAATCCTGCTTAGGACGTCAAATTTACATAATACCTTAACTTTCAATCTCATGATGCAATCCACAATTATAATGAAATGAAGCATTTCCCAGTTCCCATGTCAAGCAGAAACTTTCTCTCTATTACTTATCAACACAACATCTTTTATTTTGGCACCAACCTAGTTTTCAATCCAAAAAATCTAATACAGTACTTTTTTTCAAGTTTGCTTAGGAAGTAATTGAAAAAAAAAAAAAAACTTCAATGTAAGTACAATCCTTTGAAATGAAATAAGCATAACCCAATTCAGCTATTAACCCAACTTATCCAAAATAAATAAATAAATAAATTACAACCTTGAACAAATTAGTTAACAAAAACAACTGTAACACCAAATAGGATGCTCCGCTTGTATGCATTAATTCTAACAACAAATGCAAAATAAACTGAAAAATCAAAACAACAAAAAAGCAACAAAATCAAACGAAATGAAACACATTTAAAAAAAACAATTACATCAAAGATGAAGAAAAGGCAAGAACTTTCAACTGACCTTCATTTTGTGAAGAATCTCTTTTCCATGCATGGTGTAGTTGCTTTATTTTATCACACTAAAGCACCTAAACAGTTCTCTTTTTTACACAGAAATTTCAAAAACTAGAAAAGAAGAATATCAAATTTTGATTCAGAAGAAGAAAAGCTTCAAAGGGAAAAAAAAAAAAAAGAAAAAGAAAAGCAATTATATAAACATAGAGGAGATTTGACCGGGGAACACATCTGACCTACGTGTGACTTTAGCATTACGGACCGCGTGTTTTGAAATGAACGCGTTCATATCGACGACTTTTCTTGACATCACTCAATTTCCCTTTTTTTTTCTTTTTTGAACTTTTCCCCACTTCTTCTCTCGGCTAGCTGTCGTTGTTGTGTTTTAGAAAAAAAAAAAAAGGAGAAAAATATAATTGGTATCCATATCTTGTTTTTCACTTTCCTCGAGAGAAATTTGTGTTTGAAGGAGTCTAGTCAAAATTGGTCAGTTTGGGCTAGTGGATTACTCGTTCATGAATTTTTTAGATAGGAAATAGGTAATTCTCTGTGGCATTTAAAGAGGAAAATTATTAATAAGAAAAAGTCAATGAAATGGAGCAAAAGGTAATGAACATATCTCATCCCAACCCAACCAAGGATACGGGAAAGCAGTTAGGTCCCTGTGAAATGTGCATGCATTAGGTAGGATTCATCCACACACAGCCATACCTGTTTGTCACTCGATATAATTTATATATTTATATTTACTTATTTCATATCTATTATATATAAAATATAAAATATATTATATTATAATTTATATTAAAATATTAAATATAAAATATTTTTTATTTTTATTAAAATTTTAAATTATATCATTTTCGTATATTTTTTATATCGTACCATTAATCACATTTAAAATGATCTTATCTAATCATCATAAGAGCAAAAGTTTAGTTTTAGTGAAAAATGACAAATTTGAAATTTTGCTTAAAAATATTAGTTGATGTGGATGTTTCTCCAAACCCCAAACAATCATACAACATTGATATATTTTTACACAAAGGATACGTTCATTTATTCACACAATAATTGGTTTACTAATGTGACCGGGAACATCTATTTGGGGGCTAACTCTATCGTTTCTTGCAACCATTCAAAGGTTAGCTTCTGCTTTATGTACCAAAAAAAGGATTTTCGTGTTGATAATATTTTTTCTTTTTCAGGAAACAAGTTTAATCAAGTGTTTCAACTCACGCAAAATTGGCTACTAATTTAATCTCAGGAAGAGATCAAAATCAAAATGGAAATTTTAGGGGAATTTGGAATTGCGACCTTTCGTGATTTGGTTTTCATCTCCATATTTTGCACATGGAAAACACTTGAATTAAAAATAAAATTGCCGCTTCTAGTCAAATACATCAATAAAAGTCTGAAACTTCACCGATTAATAATAACCCATGAATGATGAAACTTACTATTTATTTTTTTTCTTATCTGACGTTTCTCCATGCAGGGGTTCTTGGGCGGCTACTAACATGCCAATTACCTTGCACTGGTTTGTGTTGGGACAAAATCAAAACCAACACGTCGAATAATCTGTCAAACGTCCACACTCCCAAGCCTAGTGAAATTCGAAGGCAAACGCTTTCTCTCATGAATGGATTGCACACATGATCTGTCAAACATTCGGAATTTCTAATGTAGTCAGTCGTAATTTGGTTATTGACACAGAGATTGGTCTGATTTGAATCTTTTGCATCAATTCATAAAACTGTGAGCTGAATTAATTTTCAATATCCATAGGCAAGTAGTATCTATCCAAATCAAAGATTCAAATAACGGTTTAAAAGCGGAATAACGGCCACAAAATAAAGGTAGCGCCACCACCCGCCACCGTTATTGAACAAAACACGGTTAAAAAATTCATTCACGATAAAAACAGAATGTAATGGCCGCAAATAACGGCGTAACAGAGAATAGCGACAATAACGGACTATTATTGCCACTATTCTGTTTTTCTACTCACAGATCTAATAGTTCAAGAAAAAAATAAAATTTTAAGTTTTCAACTTTGAGAATAAAGCAATAAACCTGCAAAGTAAAAGTAAAAGCAAAAACAAAAAATAAAACTCAAACTCTCACATCTGTAGCATCAAAATTACTCTAAGAACAAGCTAAAAAACAGACAAATTATTTCAAGTTTCAACCATTCAATCGGCATTTCGGCACCCAAATTCAAATCAGCATCAAGTTTTCAATCAATATTTAAGATCAAATAAGGTAAGAAAAGAAAGTTAAATTACCTTTTTTTTTGTAAATTTTTTATAAAATGATGTCTGTTGTGAGAGTTTGAGACTTGAGAGAGATGAATGAAGTGTACTGGGTAAGTGATAATGATGAAAAGATGTGAGAGAAAATGAGAGATGAAAAAAAAAAGAGAAAAAGAAATTTCTGAAAAGTAAAGCTTCGGACGGACGAAGATGAATAGAAGAGAGCAAGCTGGTTCTAGATGGTTCTGTCGTTCTGCTACAATTAAACAAATTGAGGGACATTAAGGCAAGCACATGGGGAGGGATTGGGTGGGGTGGGGTGAGGTGGGGTGGGATTGGGTGTTGTAATTAATTTTTGAAATTTTTGTAAATAAAATTTAATTAGAGGTTTTGAAAATTTTATAATTAAAAAAAATAAAAGATTAATAATTTAATATAATATATATAGAGATTTTAGATGAAAAATTTTGATAAAATTTTTTGTATAAGTTAAATGAAAAATAATTAAAATTAAATATTATATTTTGATTGTGTTATATATTAATTTATAATTTTGTATCTAAATTTTAATTTTTTTTATTATTTTGATATTTATATTATTGTCAATTCTTTTGATATTAGATTAATTCTTATTATTTTTGTGTAATTATTGAAGATTGTATTTATTATATAATTATTGAAAATTATTTGTGATAAAAAAAATTTAAATCAATTAGTGTATCAAAAAGATTAAGTTATTTAATAAATTTAACATTTTATGATCTATTACTCTTACTAAGATTAAAAACTAAAAAATAAAAAATATAGGTTTGAAAATTTTATTAAAATATAAGTTTGAACATTTTTAATTTTTGAAATTTTTTTAGATAAAATCTAATTAGAGGGATTGGAGGTTTATAATTAAAAAAAATTAAGGGATTAATAATTTAATATGATATATATAGAGATTTTAGATGAAAATTTTTGATAAATTTTTTTGTATAAGTTAGACAAAAATTAATTAAAATTAAATATTATATTTTGATTGTGCTATATATTAATTTATAATTTTTATACGAAATTTAATAAATTTTTTTGTTGTTTTGATATTTATATTATTGTTAATTCTTTTGATATTAGATTAATTCTTGTTATTTTTGTGTAATTATTGAAGATTGTATTTGCTATATAATTATTAAAAATTATTTGTGATAAAAAAATTTATATCTATTAGTGTATTAAAAAGATTAAGTTATTTAATAATATTCTTAAGATTAAAAACTAAAAATTAAAAAATTTAGTGTAAAATCAATTTTTAATGATGTAATAAGTAATATTAATATTTATAAATATAAGCTTATTTTATTTTTATACAAATAGCAAGTATGCCACCACATGAAAGTTCCCCTAGTAAAAGAGTAGAGGGCACGCAAGTGATGATTAATTACGGTTGGTATTTTGGAACACCAATGCCAAATACAAGGAGGAAATGTTTTCACATGTGAATTTTGTGTAAAGTTGTAAAAGGAGGAATAACACGTTTCAAAGAAAACATTGTTTATTAAAACTGGCAATGTAAGCCATGCCCCAATGTTACTTGGATGTTAATATTTTTTTATAATTCCTCTGAAAATATTATTGTTAATTTCTTAATAAAAATTATAAAAATTACAACAAGCATGTGTACTAATTTTTTTCTTTTTTTTAACTATATTATTATAGGTTTATAGTAAGAGAAAGTATGATGAAACTCCTTCAAGATAGAAATAAAATAAGTTGACAACAAAAGGAGAAAAAAATAAATTTTTATCACAGTTAAGAGGGGAAGATGATTATGAAGGATTTATTAATGAAGACATCGCTACTAGATAAGCCGTACAAGATAGTATTCAATCACAACATGAGTGGCACAGAAGACAAGAATTCAGACAAAGACCTAGTGGTTGGAGTAACATGTATGAAGAGGGATGAAACTCTCATGTCACAGTTGCTGAATATTTTGAAGAAAGAACAAGGAAATCAACTCCAAATGAGTCTAAATTTTCATTAAGGGGAGCTATACCTGAATTGGTTAGAACTAAGAGTTCAAGGCAACCAAAAGTAAGTGATTCAATTTTAAAAACATTAAGAAGAAATATGGGTGAATTAGTGTCAAAATTTTTTATATATGATCGACTTCTTTTTCAGTTAGCAAATTCTCCATGGTTGCATAATTTGATTTTTGTGGCAGCAGAAGTTAGCCAACATGTAAAATTTTCAACACCTTATGAGGTCTTAGATGTGTATTTAGAGTTTGAATATCAACAAATTCATGAATGGGTTAATGGATTAAAAGCTCATTGGAATGAATTGGGTGTCACGTTGATGTGGGATGGTTGGACCAATAGTTTAAATCAAATGCATATTATTAATTTCCTTGTTTATTGTAGTAAAGGGATCATTTTTTTGGAAATCTGTAGATGTCTCAAGCGTTTATAGTAGAGATGTAAATTTTTACTATAGATTATTAGATGAAGTTGTGGAAGAAATTGGAGAAAAATACATTGTTCAAATAGTTACGATAACGAGGCAGCACTTAAGGTCACATGAAAAAGACTAATAGAGAAGAGAAAACATTTGTATTGGACAACATGTTCAGCTCATTGTTTGGACTTGTGCCTTGAAGATATTGGGAAGAAAAAAAATGTGGCAAAGGTTTTGGATGATGCAAAAAAAAGTGACTTGTTTTATATACAATCACATTTGGACTGTTAATTTGATGAAAAAATATACACAAGGGAAGCAAATACTTCGTCCTGCTTTTACCCAATTTGCCATTCATTCATACAGTTAGAAAAAATAATGAGCAAAAGCAAGATTTAAGAGAGATGTTCAATTCAAAGGTTAGTACTTAATAATTAGTACAACTATTTAAATTTAGCATCTTTTTATGATATCATTGTTTTAAAATATTAATTTAAAATATATTACTCGAAAAATTTATTGATGAATATATAAGAATTTAAAGATTCAAAATGAAGATAACAAAAATCAGGACCTACTTATGAAGCCAAAAAAAAATCATTTTGGGAAAAGATTTTTGGAAAAAAGTAGGCAATATAATAAAAGTTTATGAGCCTTTGGTAAAAAGTGTTGCGCCTTATGGATGGTGATGAAAAACCAACAATGGGCTTTATTTACGAGGCTGTGGATAGAGCTAAACAAGCAATTCAGCAAAATTATCGTTATTCTATTAAATATGAAAAGATTATTGATAATAGATAGAGTTTCATGCACTCTGACTTACATTCAGCTGGTAAGTAAACCAAGAATATCGATGGTATTTAAAAAATATGTTTTTTTTTTTATACTTAAATTGCTTATATATTTATTTTTATTATTTTAATATAATATTGTTATGAATTATGTTTAGGTTATTATCTAAATCCACAATTTCAATTTGGAATGAAATATTCTGCAAATGTATTTAA